TATCCCCATATAGTAGAGTAACCATCATACTCATTATCTTAGACATCTATTCCCTGGACTCAACTTGGAACATTCTTGTTTCTTTAAACATTTTTCGTTGACTCTCTACAAGTTGCTCTTGGATTCTCTCAATCTTTCCAACTCGTGTTAATATTCCATTCATTGCTTTCAATCTTTTAAAGACCTGCCCCAATTCTTGAATGCACTTTTAGAACTCCTGATTTCATAATCCTTTACTGATTACTCCCATGTTTTCATGATTTAATGCATGTAAAGTAGTTCAAAATAAAATGCAAATGCATGATGTAAGATTGAAACTATAAATATAACTATGCAAAGATGCAAATGCAAAAAATATAAATACAAACATGAAGATGTGAATGTAAAATGAAAATGTAAATACAAACATAAAAATGTGAATGCAAATGCAAAGATGTGAATGTAAAATGAATATAAAAAATGCAGAAATGCAAAAATAAGAATGCAAATGCATGTATACAAAAAGGTGTTGATACTGAACTGATTCCTTAGAACAAATTTTATACTAAAACGAAGTTTTAAACATATTACAGATACATCTGCACTATTTTCTACTTCATATAGGACTCTTCGTTCTATATTTCTAGCCTTCTATATGAACATCAATCATGAATCAACACCATTGTATGAAAAATGTAATGCATAATGAAAATGATAAAAAAACCAAAGGAAAATTAGGTAGTAATATCATAAAAATCCTAACCTCATGTAATCTAGTTCCATGTTTTATTTGGAAAAATAAATCTAACCGCATGATTTCTAGTTCGCATGCATTTATTAGGAAAATAAAGTAATACTAAGTAAATTAAGAATCAACATGCTTTTCCTTGTGTACTTAATCTTACAAAACTCAATCAGGTTAGGCTCCACCTAGATACCAGTTCTAGGCTTTATTATATGTTGGGTTTTGACTCCAAGGTAAAAAGGGTCAACGAATTGTCCTTTGTTAGTGCCCCCTTGGACTGCCAAGCCCTCAATCCTAGTCTATTACAGACTTTCGGATTGAGTTCAATTCGAAGGAACACACTTCCTTATGTCCATACGGAGGTGAAAACCACACGAGGAACATAAGGTGTGAGCTCAAGGAATGGTCCCCTATCCCATACGGAGGTGAAAACCACACGAGGGAGTAGTTTCTCATTCAAACTAAATAGGATAGAGTGGGATTTTAGCTCATGTCATGATAATGCAGTGCACAGTGTGTGATGAAAAGCATAAAGAAAAACAATGTATAACACATAAATTTATTCTTTAAATATAAAGACATATAATTAAACCTGAAAATATTAACAAACAAGTTATTACAACTATTTAATTGTTAATAAAATAATCAAGGAATTAAAACAAAATTAAAATAAATTTATAATTTTTATTGCAAAGACAATTAATTAATAGACTGGTGGCTTGACTCTCTAAAAATGTCCCCAGCAAAGTCGCCAAGCTGTCGAGACGGTATTTTGCCCGGCGAAAACAAGTGTCGTTGCTTTCTAAATCTCGTCTCGAAAAAGTAAGTATTTTTCTTCTGGTATAAGATAAAACACAATTTGTGGAGTCACCACCAATCATTTTATTGAGGTGTAATTGGTCACCAAAAATGTTATGTTATTTTAATAAAATTTATAAAAAATAATATTTTAAATAACACAAAAATGGTAAGTTTACCAGAAAATGAGTTCGAGAGTCGGTTACGTGTGGGGAAGGATTAGCAACGCAACAACGCCCAAAATTGGTACATTTGTTTATTAATTAATGTATTTGCAATAAATTAACAAATTTGTATTTAATTTCAATTTATGATCCCATAAAAATAATAAAGATATTATTTTATACCAACAAATCATTTAAAGTACTTTCCTAATCAGTTAAGAAAATATTTTATGACTTATTGTATAAAATAATATAACCCGATTACATATAATAATTTTAATGATTTAATCAATAAAATATAAAAATTAAGGTTACTATTATAACTACTTAATATGCAAAGTACTATAGTTGTAAATAATCCTCTAATAATATGAAAATATTAAAAATATTAAAATTAATAGAAAAAAATACATATTTCAAGAAAAAAATAAAAAATGAAGCATTATAATTAATTAAAATAAAAAACGTGGGATTATTTTAAAAATATAAAAAATGTGGACACAACTTAGTGGAATGTATTTTAAAATGGAACACCATAATTATAATGCTCCACTTTCTAATTTTTATTATTACTTTTAATAATGCTATTATTTTATGTCATTATTATTATTATTTCTATTCATTATATTATTTTATTTTAAACACTAATATATATTATTAGGATACACATATGTGACTAAAATAAAAAATATAAATAAGTACTAGATTTAAAATATTTAAAAATAAAAGGTAATAATAAAATAAAATTGCAATTAAATAATAACCAAAATAATAATTAAATTAAAAAATATATAAATTATTTGTCAATATTCAAAATATTATAAAATATATATATTAAAAAGTGTAAATAATCCTAAAATATTATTTAAATATATGTAAATATACGTGTAATGACTAAAATAAAAATAAATAAAATGCGAAGACAAAAGTAAAAGATATAGAAACCTGATTTTGGCGACTATAATGGAAGATTATAGAATACAGGGACCACGGACAGGGTTAAACCAATTCTGAAATTACACAAGCACTCCCTTCCCAAAACAACTTAGTTTTGATTTGGGTATAAATAAGTCAAAATAGGCCATTTTCCTTTATTTTTCCTCATTTTTTTGTTTTGCTTTTCTCTCTAAAGAGATAGAAGCTCTCCCTTCTCTCTAAACTCCCTCACTGGATGAAGCTCCATTCACCGGCCGACCATCGATCGGTCAATATTCCAGTCACTATTCACGGCTGGAAAAAATAAAAATAGATCGGCTCACCCTAAACCCGAAACCACTCTCCTTTTTTTTCTAAAAAACTTCAAAACGACCTAGATCTAAGATTTTACCTTCGGTAAAATCAACTTTTCCGACGACGTTTGGGCTTCGACGAAGGTAAGATCTCCTCTCCTTTATTCTCCTTTCAGTTTGTTTCCTACTCGTTTGGTGTTACTTGCTCTCTTCCCGTTCTTGTCTTTGTTCTCCTTTTTTGTAGGTTTTCAAGGCTTTTTATAGGCCTCGGAAAGTTTCAAACAACCGTTCATTTTGGTGAGTCATCGGATCTACAATGGTGACTCACCATAGGGATCGAGGTGTGCGGCTCTCCTACATCTTCTGGAGTCTTCTGTGCGGCGATGACGTCATGGTGACGACAAGTTGGAGAAGATGTGGAAACCCTAGAAGTATCTGAATCGGGCCTTGGGCTAGGTCTGGATCTGGGCCTCCGATTTTGTAAATGGGCTCCCAATTTATTTTGTAATAATAATATGATAGTCTCAAACGAAAATGATTGTCGACAGTTATCGTGTCACGTTAGCTAATGTGATAATGTCCTAACTCATTACATGTTATTTTGTTAATTATTTGTGACACATAGTTATCATTCATAAAGTTCTCATCATTTTTTTAAGGGTAAACTACAACATATATTATTAAATTTTAAGTCCTGGCTCATTTATAACACCAAACATTTAATTTTTTTAATTTTAATATTAACGTTTTATTTTAAGTGCAATAATGTCACTTCGTCGATCGAAACAAGATCGTTTTAGCGCGATTGTTTTAATACTCAAATAACCCAAACCGACGTCATTTTGTTTATGAAAAATATATTTTCCATGTGATTCGAACCAAACAGCTTTATAAACAAACACAAAACACCCAAACACCAAGATAATTAAACAACTTATTATACTTTTAAAAAAATTAGTATATATGTTAAATAGCACTGATTTGTTAAATAGCACCGATTAAGTATATAACAAGAACATAACCAGCACCACCGTCGTCAAAGATTCAACGCCCAACCCCAACGACTGTCCTGCAAGATTCAGTTGATATTCCCTCCCAGCCTTCCCAAACCCTCTCCAACGTCTGGCTCTCCTCATTCAGCAGCCAAACATCCACTCAACACCCTCGCCATTACCTTCAGGCTTCAACAAGCTTCACTTTCTTCAAAGCTTTGATCGATTATTTTGTCGTCGGAACTAGCTTCGGAGCTTCTTGCATCGACAACTCCATAGCCATTGCCGCTGACCCATCATAGTGTTTCCGCCTCACAATCTTTGATAACGGTGATGTTGTTATATTCTTGTTAAATAACTTAATCGGTGCTATTTAACATATATATTAATTTTGTTAAGATTACAATAAATTCTTAAGTTAATTTGGTGGCTGGATGTTTAGTATTAGTTTATAAAGGTCTTTAGTTTGAATATCTTAAAAAGTATAGTTTTTCATAAACAAAACGACGTTGTTTTAGGTTTTCTAAGCATCAAAAGAGTCACGTCAAAACAATGTCGTTTAGGTGAGACAACCACACCAACAACGTCACGACACACATCTACCACCATTTTGAAATATAACGAATAGTCCAGTCACTATTTTGTAACTTTAAAAAATTTATGGACTCAACAGGAGATTATTTTGTAACTTTCAATAATTGGGGACTCAACAAAACAATATCTTATAGTTAGAGAACCAATTGCGTACTTTACCCTTAATAAAATGCCCATAAATTTCTCTATGCTAATATTTGATAAATTGTTTGTCAGGGGACTGATCTTATTGAAAGAATAAAGTTAGATATGACTCAAATTGATAACTTACATTTATGTTCTACCATTTTTGAGAAGATGCATTATCTTAAATATATTCTCTTTGGTGTTCCTCAACATATGCGAGACAGTTGGAATGAGAAACTACGTGTAGGTGGAGTTGATAATATCTCTTCCAGAAGAGCTAAGGTATCTTTGTTGGGACTTTTACCCTTTCAAGTCTTTACCATCAAGTTTTAATCCGGAGAATCTTGTGGTGTTGAAATTACAACATGGCAACATGGAGCAACTTTGGAATGAAGATGGTCATCTGGTATATGCTTTCATACTTTCTTCATCCAATAGTATTTTTCTTTAGAAAAAGATTATGATAGATGATATTATGAAGTAATATAGTTATTCATATTCTTATTACGCAGGATCTTGTTAATTTAAGGGGACTTGACCTTTATTGCAAGAAATTGAGGAAGATCCCTAGTCTAGCAAGGGCCGTCAACCTTAAAAAGCTTTACCTTCAAGGGTGTGAAAGTTTGATTGAACTTCCTTGCCTCAATCATTTGTCATCTCTTGATTGGCAGTGGTTTAAGCTTGAGGAATGTTATAGTCTCAGCAAGTTTCCAGAGCTTCCAAATAATTTTGTTTATTTAAAATTAGAAAAAACTAGTATTGAAGAACTCAAGGGTCAAATATGTATCAAGCAATATCTCGAAGCTGAAATCCCTTATTGGCTGGATCTTAGTCATTGTCCTGTCACCGAATTTGCAGAAATCCCGAGAAGATTAACAGAATTAGACTTATCTGGGACTCGTATTATAGAGGTGGCCTTGTCTTTCTACTCTTTAAGTGATCTTCGGTTCTTACATATGAGCAGCTCAAGTATTCAAAAGCTTGAATGCAATGTCTCCCTCTCTGGTTCAGTAGCGGTTGATGTGTCCTCACCAATCATGAGATGTAAAAGCCTTGGATCTTTGGCAGTGGATCATTGCAAGAGCCTTAAATTACTCTCCGAACTTCCACCGTATCTATGGTTATTGGATTCACATGACTGCACATCGTTAGAAAATGTATCCTTAACGGATCAAAATTTATATCAATACAGTTCAGATGATGATGATGATGATGAGGGTGGTGGTTATGGTGTGTTTTACTTGTTATTCTCTAATTCTTTCCGCTTGAATCAAGATTCGGTTGACAACATTGAGGTGAATGCCATGCTTAATATTGGATCCGTAGCTGAGAAATGGGCATTCAGATATGATTTGTACTTCCATCCTGAATGTGTACCGAGTTTGATTTGTTGTTTCCCTGGAAATAAAATATCGGCAAATAAGTTCGAATATCGGAGCTTGAATTCTTCGATAAATTTGGAGATATCCCCTAATGGGAGTAGTAGGAGCAGAATTTTGAGCTTTGCTGTCTGTCTTGTGGCCGGTCTCACTCCCTGCCACGTCTTCTATATGATTCGTACTTCCATCCTGAATGTGTACCGAGTTTGATTTGTTGTTTCCCTGGAAATAAAATATCGGCAAATAAGTTCGAATATCGGAGCTTGAATTCTTCGATAAATTTGGAGATATCCCCTAATGGGAGTAGTAGGAGCAGAATTTTGAGCTTTGCTGTCTGCCTTGTGGCCGGTCTCACTCCCTGCCACGTCTTCTTTACTCTTAAACACATCTGTGAATACGAACTGACTGCAGCTGGTGGTTGTGGTTATGAAAATTTCGAAACTGGTTTATATTACTGGAGAGAATATCAGCAGGATCGGAAGTGCATCGGTGATCATGTGTTGATTCTATCTAGTATCAAAATGTTTATAGAAGACAAGGATTATGAGGAGGCATCATTTGAATTCAAACTCATAAGCTACAAGTTCAGTGCGGACGAAGAAATAGAAGGCAATTATATCGAAGTGAAGAAATGCGGTGTTTATGTATTTTACGTGGACGCAGAGAGTGATGCCTATAGTGAAGATGCTAATACAGAGGAAATCGTCGAATCCAGTGAAAGTTTCGACTCTGATGAGATGAGCAATGATGACTCCGGCAGGAATTCGGACTCCCGAGAAGATGCTAATGTTGAGGAAGTCCATGTTGATGATGCTACAGAAACTGGACATGGGGACAAAAGAAGATTTATATATGATGGTGAAGAAGGGGATGCAGAGCCTAAGAGATTGGAATAATTTTGAGGAGATCCAACTTCTGAATAATGTCATCCAAATGCATAGGTAAGTGGGTTTCATTTCATTTTTCATGTTACCATACTGTTTTTTTTCCTGCCATGGTTAGTAGTGAATTTTTAACCTGTAAATAGATTGCCCATGGTAGAAAATGAAGTGCTATACCATTTTTCAGATATTAAGATCCATAATTAATTATTTTTGGCAACAGACTAGTTATTGGGTGGGTTTAATTCATAGGAACAGTTGTGGACTTCATTGGTTTCATTGTTTAGTTTCCAGCATTGGTGATGGTTTTGAATTCTGTGGTAGTGATGGTTTTGAACAGTTAAAAAAAAGTAAGTTATTGTTTAGTATGCAATTATAAATTGCTTGTCATTCACATAGTGATATACCATTTTTGAGGAACTGGAACCTTTTGGGATAGTTGTGCATAAAATGGGAAATTTGTTCAATAACTCGTGATAGTTGGCTAATATGATTAAACCAATGCTCAATTTGTGTATTCGCATCTTGTTTTCCGATTAAATCATTTAGAATAAAAATCATATAGTTTAACATGAATATCCTAAATTAGGTGTGCTTATCGAGCGTGGATCACGAGGTGGACAATACTCGACTCGTGCTCGTTAGAAAATTTTGTTGTTCGACTCGACTCGTTGCTTGTTAAAATTTTACTCAACACGTTGTCACGAAATTGGGCCTTTTCCCCACACTTTGGGCTATTTTGGCTATGTTGGGCCACATTTGGTCTTGGAGGTTGAGAGAATAGTGTAGATTATTCTAGAACACTCAAGACTTGTACATATTCTAGAAGCATTCTAGAGTCTTCCATGTTAGGTAGGAAATAATGGAGAATTCTAGAGAATCTCTCCCTACCGTAGGATCAAATCAATCTCCACCGTCCATTGAGGAGGTGGGATGCTATAAATAGGTGTAGAATCCTCATTTGTAAATCATCCAAGAGTTGTGAGCATTCAAGCATTCAACAAGCTTTCTCTCTAAGTTCTTTCCTTTCTCCTTTGTTTCCTTGCCAATCCTTTCTCTAGCACGAGTTCGAGTGAGGCTGACTTAGCTATCGCGAGGGGCGAAAAGGAGCTAAGGCCGCACGAGGCTTATTGAGCGATTAAGTCCGTGACAGTTGGTATCAGAGCCAGTAAAGGCGTCAATATCGTGCACGTGTATTGTAGGAATGGCCGGAAATTCGAACGAGTCAATTGTTGCTGAGGAACGTGGAAGAGAAGCTGCACCCACCAACAAGAATAAGAAGAGGGACCAAAGTAAGGCCCGCGAGAGCACTTCCATAGAACCGATGGTGGCAGAGTTTGGCGAGAAGCTGGAAAGGGTCCAGCACGACTTCAAGACGTTGGAGGACCATGTCTTGGAGCAAGTTGACACACTCAAAGGAAATGCCGAAGAGACCAACAACGAGGTGGAAGCTCGGTTCATACAGCTCGAGGATATGATCCAAGCCGTCCGTGAAAGCATCGAGGGGATGCGGGAGGACTTGACGCTCTGCAAGAGAGCCGCCGTTAGCGGGAGTGCTAACCATGTCTCCACCCCGAGGGTCGAGTGCCCCAAGCCACAAGGGTTCAACGGGGCAAGAGACGCCAAGGAAGTCGAAAACTACCTATGGCGGATGGAGCAATACTTCGAGGGAATCGACCTTAACGACGAGGCCGCCAAGGTAAAGACCGCTGCCTTATATCTTTCCGATACTGCTATGTTATGGTGGCGTAGGAAACATGCCGACATTGAGTGGGTTTAATTCATAGGAACAGTTGTGGACTTCATTGGTTTCATTGTTTAGTTTCCAGCATTGGTGATGGTTTTGAATTCTGTGGTAGTGATGGTTTTGAACAGTTAAAAAAAGTAAGTTATTGTTTAGTATGCAATTATAAATTGCTTGTCATTCACATAGTGATATACCATTTTTGAGGAACTGGAACCTTTTGGGATAGTTGTGCATAAAATGGGAAATTTGTTCAATAACTCGTGATAGTTGGCTAATATGATTAAACCAATGCTCAATTTGTGTATTCGCATCTTGTTTTCCGATTAAATCATTTAGAATAAAAATCATATAGTTTAACATGAATATCCTAAATTAGGTGTGCTTATCGAGCGTGGATCACGAGGTGGACAATACTCGACTCGTGCTCGTTAGAAAATTTTGTTGTTCGACTCGACTCGTTGCTTGTTAAAATTTTACTCAACACGTGCTCGTTAAGAAAAATTTGTTGCTCGACTCGTTGTTCATTAAGCTCGTTGCTCATTAAGCTCACTAAAATTTTTATTTAACTATAAGTAGAATATACTAATACTATATAGAACTTAAAAAAATTATCAAAAGAGTGTAGGAAACAAATTTAAAGTCTAACACTAAAATAATCATCCATAAATACATTAAAATAATAATTAGGGTTTATTTTTGGGTGTAGTAAAATAATAATTATTGATTATTAATTTAGTATTTTTAATTATTTATTAAAAAAGTAATAGATTAGTAATTTATCATCTTTTTTATTATCCATTAGTAAATTAGTAATTTTTTGAATTAAATAATTTTTTAAGATGATTACTAAAAAATCATAAAAATAATTAACAAGTTGCTCGTAAGCTCATTGAGTCGAGTTGAACTTTAATCGACTTAACTCTGGAGTTCAAGTCGAATCAATTTTTATTAAGTTTTGACTTAGTTAATTTCGAGCTGCTCACGAGTTGCTCAACTCATTACATGTTATCTTTTTAATTATTCGTGATATGTGGTTATCATTATCAAATTTCTCGTCGTTTTTTCAAATAAGATAATGTTGTTTTATTATGGTAGTCAATGTGATGTTGTCCTAATTCATTGGATGTTATCTTTTTAATTAATCTTGAGAGGAGGGCATCCTTCGCAAAATTTGCATTCATATAAGGATTATATTGTAAATGTAGCTAACCGTTGAATTGTTCTTTGTTTTCTTTTCTTTTAACCTTTCTTCGTGGAATCTAATGCACAAATACTGATTGTTGGTAATTTCATTTTATTTTATTATTATCATAATTACATTTTGCTAATATATATTTTCTTTTATTTTTTTGTAGGATCATTTCCTCGAAGATACATATTTTCATCAATATTTTTACTACTACTACTACTAATATTATTATTATTATTATTTATTTTACGAACAAGTTTTTCTCTTTATAACTTCGTTAATTATTCTTTTCACAAAGTGAGACAACCTAATCATTTTTAAAATAAATTTAATTTGAATTTTAAAATTAATTTATTAAAAATAAAACTTTAACTCAAAAAAATTGTTTAAACTCGATTTTAAAACGTGATATTTAGACTTTGACTCGATTAATTAAAAAATAACAGTATCAACGGGGATCGGTTCAAGTGGTATGCATGTTAATATCTTTTAAGCAAGTCTAAAGTTTGAGTCATTGTCTATGCAGAAAAATCTTATTTAGATACTCACCCAATAAAATCAAGTGTGTGACTCAAATCGACATCCAAAAAATATTAATAGTAAAAGGTTCTTAAACTTAAGCATACATATAAATATATTAAAAGAACTTTTTTAATATAAATCAAAAGGGTAAAATTAAAGGTCCAGTCCCTGATTAGTCTATAGTTCACATTTTTAAAACTTATGAATTGGTTATAGAAACTTTACAAACTTTCCAATTCAATCCAAAATTCAGAATTAATATATCAAAAATCAAATTTAAACCCAAAAATTATTTTAATCTCGATTTAGGGGCACAACATATTTGATTATCTTATTAGCACTCTTCTTTAACATGATCAACTAAAGATTATTTTTTAACAGTAAAAGAGATCTTGAACGTATAAATACATATACATATATATATTAACAAATAAATCTTAAATATATATATAATACATAAATTTAAAAAAAACATATGAAATTTATCACTGATAAGATTTTTAAATTAGTGGCATATCTAAGATGTCACTAAAAAAATTTCCACAATTTTTTTGTTAATTCCTGATGCCAAATATTAAGTAACATAATCTCATGATGTCTTTTAAAATTGTTATATAAAAGACAAGAGAATGTGACAAATAGTTGCTTTCGTTATGTTAAACCTATTTGTGGTACAAATAAAATGGCATATTCTATATCTTAAAATATATGACGAATCAAATTGTCACAAAATACAACCTATAAGTGACAAATCCGTAATGTCACTAATACAAATAATATCATTATAATAATAAATCATCGCTAATAGTTAAATTTTATTGGGGACAATTTCATAACGTCACCATTTTATCTAAACGTCATTAAAAGTTTTCCTACCAAAAAAATTTGGAGGTAAATTTTGACTCCAAACATATAATGAAGAAAATCAATGACAATTTTTTAAAATTGCCATAAAAATATATCATGAATCACTAAATGTGACGAAAACGAAAAAAACATCACATTTATAGTATATTTTATGACGTGATTTGCAACGTTATATAGAAATTTCATCATAGATTGATAAATTTGTTGTAGTGCCCTAACTATAATTTTAAAATTTCGTCAATATGATCACTTAACTATTTAATTGGCTTCAATATATCCAATCACTATTAATATTTGACTGAAGTGTTGAAGTGACAGTTAATAAAATTGATATATTTATACATTTGGTTCTCAGTAGTTACATATTATTTCAATTTAGTCTTAATTTTAAAAGTGCAATACATCTAATTCTTCTTAATCATGGCGAATCTGGAGAGTAGGTTTTCAAGGGGGAAGTGTGTCGTATTGATTGTCTTCAATCTCCCATAATATCTCCATTTCAAAGGGCTTCGGCTTATCTTCGACGAATATGATGAGGTTGTGGACTCTTTCATTCCCAAAAAGAGAAGCAAGGGGAAACATATTCGGTTTTGTTCGTTTTTCTAATATGAAGGGTGCAAGAAGAGCTATTCATAATCTCGAAGGCTCTCATATCCAAGGAAACAAGGGTGAGAGAAATTAAGGTCTAAG